ACTGTGGTCTTAGAGACTGTTTGTTATGATTTCTATTCTTTTGCATTTGCTGAGGAGTGATTTACTTCCAATTATGTGGTCAGTTATACAGTACGTGTGATGTGGTGCTGAGAAAAATGTATATTCTGTGGATTCAGGGTGGAGAGTTCTGTAAATGTCTGTTAGGTATCCTTGGTCCAGGTCTGAGTTCAAGTCCTGGATATCCTTATTAATTTTCTTTCTTGTTTATCTGTCTAATATTGACAGTGGGGTGTTAAGTCTCCCACTATTATTGTATGGGAGTCTAAGTCTCCTTGTAAATCATTAAGAACTTGCTTTATGTATCTGAATGCTCCTGTATTGGGTGCATATATATTTAGGATTGTTAGCTCTTCTTGTTGCATTGATCCTTTTACCATTATGTAATGTCCCTCTTTGTCTCTTTTGATCTTTGTTGGTTTAAAGTCTATTTTATTAGAGACTAGAATTGCAACTCCTGCTGCTTTTTGCTCTCTATTTGCTTGGTAAATCTTTCTCCATCTCTTTATTTTGAGCCTTTATGTATCCTTGCATGTGAGATGGGTTTCTTGGATACAGCACACTGATGGATTTTGGTTTTTTATCCAATTTGCCAGTCCGTGTCTTTTGATTGAGACATTTAGCCCATTTACCTTTAGGGTTCATATTGTTATATGTGAATTTGATCCTGCCATTTTGATGCTAGCTGGCTGTTCTGCCCATTAGTTGATGCAGTTTCTTCATTGTGTTGATGCTCTTGACCATTTGGTACGTTTTTGGAGTAGCTGGTACTGGTTGTTCCTTTCTGTGTTTAGTGCTTCTTTCAGGAGCTCTTGTAAAGCAGGCCTGGTGGTGATGAAATCTCTGACTAATTTCTTGTTTGTAAAGGATTTTATTTCTCCTTCACTTATGAAGTTTACTTTGGCTGGATATAAAATTCTGGGTTGAAAGTTCTTTGTGTTAAGGATGTTGAATATTGAACCTCACTCTCTTCTGGTTTGTATGGTTTCTGCTGAGAGATCTGCTGTGAGTCTGATGGGCTTCCTTCTGTGGGTAACCCAACCTTTCTCTCTGACTGCCCTTAGCATTTTCTCCTTTGTTTCAACCCTGGTGAATCTGACGATTATGTGCCTTGGGGTTGCCCTCCTTGAGGAGTATCTTTGGGGTGTTCCCTATATTTCCTGGACTTGAATATTGGTCTGCTCTGTTAGGTTGGTTAAGTTTCCCTGGATAATATCCTGAAGAGTATTTTCCAGCTTGGATTAATTCTCTCTGTCACATTCAGGTACACCTATCACACATAGATTAGGTTTTTTACATAGTCCCATATTTCTTGGAGACTTTGTTCATTTCTTTTTATCCTTTTTTTCTCTGATCTTGCCTTCTCATTTTATTTCATTGAGTTGATCTTCAATCTCTGATATCCATTCTTCTGCTTGGTCAATTCGGCTGTTGAAACTTGTGTATGCTTTGTGAAGTTCTCGTGCTATGTTTTTCAGCTCCATCAATTCACTGATATTCCTCTCTGTTTATTCGTGTTAGCATTTCATCAAACCTTTTTTCAAGGTTCTTAGTTTCTTTGCATTGGGTTATAACATGTTCTTTTAGCTCAGAGAAGTTTCTTATTACCCACCATCTGAAGCCTGTTTCTGTCACTTCATCAGACTCATTATCCATCCAGCCCTGTTCCTTGCTGGTGAGGAGTTGTGATCCCTTGGAGGAGGAGATGCATTCTGGTTTTGGTCATTGTCATCCTTTCTGTGCTGGTTTCTTCCCATCTTTGTGGATTTATCTACCTTTGTTCTTTGTAGTTGTTGACTTTCAGATGGGGCCTCTGAGTGGATGTCCAGTTTGTTGATGATGAAGTTATTTCTTTCTGTTTCCTAGTTTTCCTTCTAACAGTCAGGCCCCTCTGCTGTAGGACTGCTGAAGTCCACTCCAGGCCCTGCTTGCCTGAGGATCACCTGCAGTCACTGCAGAACAGTAAGGGTTGCTGCCAGTTTCTTCTTCTGCTATCTTTGTCCCAGAAGGATACCTGCCAGATGTCAGTCTGAGCTCTCCTTTATGAGGTGACTCTTTGGATATATAGGGGTCAGGGAGCTGCTTGAGGAGAGAGTCTGTCCTTTATAGGAGCTCAAGAGCTGAGCTGTGAGCTCCGTTGTTCCATTCAGAGCTGCTGGGCAGGTACATTTAAGTCTACTGCAGCAGAACTCATAAATGCCTTTTATTTCCCCCTGGTGCTCTGTCCCAGGGAGGTAGGGCTTTATTTATAAGTTTCTATCATGCTGCTGCCTTTTTTCAGGACTGCCCTGCCCAGTGAGGAGGCAGCCTAGCCACAGTCTGCCAGCAGAGGCTTTGCTGAGCTGCTGTGGGCTTTGCCCAGCTGCCTTGTGAACTTCCCTGCAGTCCTGTTTTTAGGGATATAGTTAGAACTGCCTTGGCAATGGTGGCCCACCTCTGTAATGGCAGACTCTCTCTGTAATGGTTGACTACCTCAGTAGTGGTGGACTACCTCAGTAATGGCGGATGCCCCTCTCCCACAGAGCTGGACTGTCCCAGGTTCAGCTGTGCTTGCTGTGAAACTCTCAATCCAGAGCATTTCAGATTGCTGTTTTTTGTGGGGGTGGGACTGGCCAAGCCTGATCACCTAGCTCCGTACCTCAGATCCCTTTTTTTTTTTTTCAGTTGAATAGGTGACTCTGTCTCCCAGGTGTCCCAGTCTCCAGTTGTAATAGCACCCGGATTTGTGTGATTTCTTGTGCGTAGACCTGTTGCACCAGTTGAAACAGCCACTGGAGACTCATGGCACTTTTTCACTGGGGAATCTCCTGGCCTGGCTCCCTGTTTCCGTCCCCTTTTTTTCAGTTGAACGGGCGACTCTGTCTCCCAGGCATTCCAGTCCCCAGTTGAAAAGGTGCCTGGATTTGTGTGATATTTGTGCTGAGAGCCACTGAGCTGGCTAAAACAACTGCACTGGGGGCTCATGGTGCTTTTTCACCCGGGAATCTCCTGGCCTGCCTCCCTGTTTCAGTCCCTTTTTTCTCATTTGAATGGGTGTCTCTGTCTCCCAGGTGTTCCAGTTACCTGTTGAAAAGTCACCAGGATCTGTGTTAATTCCCGTGCCGCAACCCACTGCACCAGCTGAAACAGCCGCATGGATATTTGTGGCGCTTTTTTGCCCGGGAATCTCCTGGCCTGGCTCCCTGTTTCATTCCCCTTTTTATCAGTTGAATGGCTAAAACGGTGCCTGGACCCTTGTATTTTGTGCAGAGACCCACTGCGGTGGCCAAGACAGCCGTGCTGGTGACCCATGGTGCTCCTCTGCCTGGGAATCTCCTGGTCTGTGGGCAGTAAAAGTTCATGTGGAAATGTAGCGTCCACTCACCCTCCATGCTTTTGCTGGGAGCTGCAATTCTGGGCTGCTCCTAATTGTTCATCTTGAATCCTCTGCAAGTGTGTTTTCATAAATTATGTCCATCTTGCTATTACTTTCAGAATATTGTTTCTCTCCTCGCTTGGTATCTTTCAAAAATACTTTTTAAAAAGTAATTTCTTTTTAACAGCATTGATCCTGAGTTTACAAAGCAATATTTATAAGATTTAGAAATGTGTGTGTGTGTGCATGTGTGTGTGCATGTGTGTGTATATGTGTGTATATATATATATATTTTTTTTTTTCAATAAAAATTTTCTTGGGACTGTCAGTAGAATATGTAAGTACATTCACATTGTCTTGCACTTTTTGTGGTCCTTTGACTCCTCCTATGCCATGTATTTCTGAATATTTACATTTTGCCATAATTCTGTTTTCTAAAATGAAATAATTATACAATAATATCAGTTAGGTTTTACTGAGTAATAACTCCAAATGTAGCAACTTAAAACAACAATTATTTATTATTTCTCATGAATTCAGCAGTTCTGATGATATGGGCTGGGTTCTGCTGATCTAGCTAGATTCACTAATGAATCTGTAATCAGCTGGTGGACATCTAGGGGCTAAGTGATCCAGAATGGCCTCAGTTTGGAAGATGTACCTTTCCTTCATGTATGTCTTACATTCCTACAGAGGAGTGCTGTCATGGTGATGACAGGAGTCAGGAAGAGGCAGAAATCTTTCAACTCTCATCAAATCTCATAACAAAACAAAGTGGATCTTTTTGGTGAGAAACACTGCCAAGTTTTACAGCAAAGGGCATAGATACAGGAAGAGGTGAAGAATGGGATGACCAAGGCATTTGAGCCATACAGGAACAGCCTTGGTGTTTCTTCTCGTCTGTTGGCATACTAATTGTAGTTAGGTTGTGATTACAGTTATAGAGTGGTTGATTCACACAAAGCGTTTTACTATATGATAACATTTCCTCCTATGGCTTTTAGAAAATCACTATAGATGCTCAAAGTTGTAGTTTTACCACTACATGCATATTTAATGGGAGAGGAAAAGGACAACTGATAGATAATTTAACTTAGAATATCATTATAAATAGAGGAAAATTTGAATGGAAGTGAGTAATGTCAGAAACTCTCCATTCATGGTGATTGATTTTTAAAGCCATTGGACAGAATGAATGAGAAAGTCGGATAATTTCTAAGTCTAGCTAGATTATGTGAACAATTGCCTTAATACTTTGTTTGGATGTAATGTTATAAAGCTTTGGTTTGTAAATTTACTTTATCCCTCAACCATTTTTTGTCTTGCCTTAAATATATCTGATTTATTATGCAGTATTTATACAGAACAACTCACTGAATTTAAAAAAAAAAAGAAATTTCATGTTTTCCTTTGTGCCCTGAAGCAAGGAATGAGAGCTTTAATTATCTCACTTACATAAACATAATGGGCCATAATTAATTTAGTGCCAATTATGATGGTCTAAACTTACAGTAAATCCATAGGACCATACTTATAGTTGCTAAGAAAACTTTATTCTTTAATATGTAATATTTAATGTTTTTCTCACTTTAAAAAACATCTTTCCCTCCTCAACTTACATAGGGCTTTCTAGAAGCCTCACCAATTTAATTAATGGAGAAAGTCTGATGACCTCTGTTCTATCATCAATTACATTTACTAGTATTATGGATTTTAACAAAGGACTACGCAGTGAAAGGAACCAAACCTTAGGTAAGGATCTTTTTTTATTTTTTTTAATAAATTTCTTAACATCAGAATCCTGTATTTTCTGAAAGCTGGCATGTATTTTGTAATATCCTACCATAAGTTATATTTGTAGGAATATAATTGTGAGTATTGGTTTAATGACTTACTCTTTACAAAGCACTATTACACATTACTTATTTAATGTTAGTTACATATTTGTTGTGAGGCAGGGTTGAGACTCTTCATGAAGTTAACTTATGGGAACAACATTCCACAGTCCTGGGCTGAACCAGAATGCCAGACAACCAGGATGAGAAATGTTCTTTTTTATGTGCTGAAGATGAGCTTAGAAGATAAGCCAAGCAGTGCATCTACTAGTAGTGAGAGGAGGCATCTTCTCTTCCCTTTGCCCTGGGACTATATCATCTCATGCAGGCAACATAGAAAGCTGTCAGGGAGGAAGTGTGAGTTACTAGTCATCTACAGGGCCAAAGAATACTGCTTGTAAGCAGAGGAATTGCAAAGTGCCAGCTATTACAGAAAACGATGTGGAAGTTCCTCAAAAACCTAAAAGTAGAACTCTACCGTATGATCTAATAATCCCACTTCTGGGTATATATCCAAAGGAATTGAAATCATAATGTCGCCCCTGGGATATCTGCACTCTCATGTTCATTGTGGCAATTAAAGATAATGACCAAAAGAAAAATTAACCCAGAATATCAGTTAAAATTAAGGGCAAATTATATTAACTATTTCTTATTTACTCCTCTTTCTTGTAGCTCAAGGCATTGTGAGTGCAGTTTCTTCATATATTATAGCAAGTTTCTGGTTCGGAATTCTAAGTTCAAAGCTGATTCAGTTGTGGATGTCAACTGGTTTTGGTGATGATGTCAATCATATGAGTCTCATCTTTTCAACTCTGTATCTCATCTTTTATATTTGTAAGTGAGAGACCTACGCCTAAAATAAAATGACATAGAAAACTTTAAAATAAAAATATGTGAAAATACATACCAGGCAAAAGTTAGTAAAAACATCCAACTGATCTGTAAAGAATATTTTTATTAATCTATCAAAAGAGATAAAAATATGAATATACAACAGAAAATAATGTACCAATATTAGCAAATACCATTATAAAAGAAAGGATTTGACAAGAGTATCATTACAGAAAGATAACTTACTATGCTTTCCCAGAGAATTTCATGACTAATTGAACAAAAAATTATTATGGCTATAAAAATATTTAAATATCTTATAAGTTTGGGTTATAAGACATATAGAGTTTTACCTCTCAAAGCAGAATGCGTATCCTTTACATATACCAATAGACAATTTGTAGAAATTACATTGAAGAACATTTCAATAAAATTTCAAACATTGTTCAACCATGATACAATTAAATTAAATATGAACTACAAAAAGAGGGCTCCTGCCAGGTGGGGTGGCTCATGCCTGTAATCCTAGCACCTTGGGAGGCTGAGGCAGAAGGGTCACTTCAGCCCAAGATTTCAAGACGAGCCTGGGTAAGATAGTGAGACCCCCATCTCTACAAAAAATTTTAAAACTAGCTAGATGTGGTGGTACATGTCTGTAGTCCCACCTACTCAGGAGGCTGAGGTGGGAGGATTACTTGAGCCCAGGCATTTGAGGTTGCAGTGACCTATGATCACATTCCAGCCTGGGCAACAAAGAGAGAAGCCATCTGTCTAACAAAAAGGCAGAGGTGGGCAGTTTCAACCTGTAAATTAGATATTTTGTCTTGGTAACTCTTGGATCAAAAAGGCAATCAAAATAGAAGTTACATATCAAGTAAAGCTAAATGTTAGAAAATCTGTCATTATTATTAATCCATGTCCCACAATCACCTCCTCACAGGAGTATGGTAGATATTAATAATTAACCATACCACTGTTTCCTGACACAGCCTCAGAATCACATTTAATTAAGCTCTTCTGACAGCCCTTCATATGATTTGGAGTTGACATACCAGATAATACCTACTTACCACACCTGTACTATGTCTTTCTGTTACATTTAGGGATAAGACAATGGTGCATATTCTCACATTCATGATAAAAATAATTATGAAAGCTCTAGCTAATGCAATAAGGAGGGAAATTTATACATATTTAAAAAAAAATTGTTACATTAAAGCAAAAGTGGCTGGAAACAAACCTCTTGAACACCGAACTGAGGAAGGAAATGGCTTTTTATTCAGCCGGGAGCTGTGGGGCCTAAAGCCTTACTCACTGCGCTCCCCTAGAAGCAGCTTCTTTCCTCTTTTATAGGCTTACAACACTAAAGGGGAAACTGAGGCAAAACTGTGTCATTGTCCATTGGCTGGACTTTGACCTTACAATCTTTTGGCTTCATTGATTTGCTAGTTCATATGCAGCAAGAGCAGGAGCTGGCAGGGGAGGGGCTTACAGAGACAAGACAAAGGCAGTAAATTATTAGCAGAGGTGTTTCCAGGAGGGAGCCTGGGTCGTGCAAATGTGCAGGACATGACCCAGTGTCTAGCCAGTAGTGATAACATTCATTTGCAACTCTTTCAAGGCTTATAGATAGTAGAGACAGTAGGAACCAAAAAGGGAGTTATCTTCCCAGTCCTTGGGCGTCTTTATGGCCTGGTCAGTGGCATCAGCAAGTCACCTGACCACAGATTGAAGCTCTTTGGTATTTTATTTCTTTTTTTTTCACCCTTCTTCCCATCCAGAGGGAAGGGATGGGAGGAGGTGGAGACGGGGAAGTAGAAGGAGGCAGGGGCATCTCCCTTCTCACCATTAATCATAATATTTTATATCATATAGAAAATTCAACAAAATTAATTGGTAAACAAAGTCAGCAAGACCCTTAAATAGCTTGATATGAGATAAAGTTATCCAAAACAATTGATGATATCTTCATCAGCCAGCAGTAACTAGCTAGAAAATATGAAAATTTGATTTTTTTATATTGGTATAAAGTTATAAAATATCAATAAATTTAACAAGTAGTTTTGAACTATACACAGAAAATTATAAAAGTCACTAAGAAATATATAATTTGAATAAATTGAAGCATAGAAAAACTTCTCTTCAGAAATGCTAGAGTAATGGGAATGTATTATTTTCCCTCTGAGGAGGAAAAGGCAGAACAGGGTATCTTGAGGGTTTCTAATGAATTAATCAGTTGATAAAATCCAATTATAATATACTAAGGGTTACAGAATCAAGCTAATGAATTAACAGGCAGTGAGAGAATGATCAGTTAATTCAGGTAGGTTCCTCATTTACTAGTATTCATGTGTATACTTAAATTCCTAAAAAATATTCCAACAAATATAATTTCCTCTAACATTGTTTTTAATAAGTAACCCTAGTTTCACAATTAAAGATTATACCCAAGGAAATAATTTTAAACTTTTAGAGTCAAGATGTCTCAATAAACATTTTAGGAAGAAACCTGCCAGGACAGAATTTCATGAAAACAAGATACAGAATAAATATCAGTTTAATATAAAAAGATTTCCCTGTGACCTGGCTTCATGCTTATATAATTAGTATCTTCAAGATACTCATTGTAAATATTTCACCGACACCTAACAAGATATAATACCTCATCCAGGGCTTGATCATTTCAAAGAATCTATGTCTATGATTTCTTCTTTTTTCATGATTCAATAATGACTCTGCTTTTGTTACCATTTCTAGCTAGGACTAGAATAAAAAATAGAAAACTTGTAATTTTCCACCTCTAGAAGAGAAAACTCAATAATGTAATAATAGTATTAATTTCACTAAATTAAAATGTATTACAGTCCAAATCAAACAATGATATAATTTTGGGGGGTTTTAAAATTTCTCTTCCTCTTTCCTCTCACCTCTCTCTCTCTTTCTCTGTCTCAGAAACAGGCTTTTGCTCTGTTGCCCAGGCTCTGGAATACCATGGTATGATCATGGCTCACTGCAGCCTCAACCTACCAGGTTTAAGCAATTCTCCCACTTCAGCCTCCAGAGTAGCTGGTACTATAGGCATGTGCCACCAAACCCAGCCAATATTTTAAATATTTTGTAGACACAGGGTCACACTAAGTTGCCTAAGCCAGTCTTGAACTCCTGGGCTCAAGCAATGGTCCCACCTACTGCCCAAAGTGCTGGAATTTTAGGTATGAGCCATTGTGCCCATCTACAATTTCATGAAAACAGTTTCAAAAGTTCATCTAGAAAAATTAATATGTGAGAATAGACGAGACAATTTTTTTTTTTAGGTAGCGAACTTTCCCTACCAGAAAGGTATTAAAACATTTAATGGGCCTACAGTAATTAAAATACAACTGTTGTTAACTTAGGAATACAAAGTAAGTCAAAGAAGCACAAAGAATTAGTCAAAGTATGGATGACAATTTAATATATGATAAAAGCAGCATATCCACAATATTCTTTAGTATTAGGAACAAATATTTCAATATTTACTTATTAGCTAGAACTACATCTGATAAGAAAGAGACGTAAGTTGTGGACAAGTTCATAAAGATATCATCAGCTGATTTTTACTTCAACCCTCCAGAACCCATCTGAAACAATCAGACCTCTAAAGGGTGCTCTAACCTCACTGGGGTATGTGAAGCAGTGCAAAGGTGTCCATTGTAGACTTTATAATACAATTGGATATAAGTTGGAGGAAGAAAAAGGACATGGGATGGTGGTAATAATTTGCAATATTTTCCAGCTGAAATCAAGTGAAGTTGCCTCTCTCTAAAATCATGGTACTGTCACAACATCTGATACTTTTAACTCTGGTAAAATTTGTGCTGCTGTTGATGTTAAATTAATACTTTATTTCTTTTAAAAAATAGGTGAGTTACTTGGAATGTCAGGAATATTTACTCTGGCCATTGTGGGACTTCTTTTAAATTCTACAAGTTTTAAAGCAGGAGCTGAAGCATCTCTTGAGTAAGTGGCTAGTACTTTTTCATTTTATTTCATACCCTGGAAGGTACAATATTATAATAGTAACAATATCTACATCTACATGGTCAAAGTAAGATTTTCAAAGACTTAAAAACTACCCAACTAAAAACCTTTCCTAGATTTTATTTTTTCTCGCCAGTTCTTTTGAATCTTCCAATTTAACGCAAATCCATAACCTTACCTTGAGTGCATGCTGATTCTGTTTCCCTGCTAATTCCTTAAGTCTCTGATTATCTGCTCAATAATTTCCTATATAAAATCTTGTACTCACTAGTAAGAGGGTGTCAAAAGTACAGTAATTGAGGAATAATATTTTAATATTTTAATGAAATATTTTAAAATTACGTTTAATTCAGCTGAACTTAATGCCAAAAAAAAAAAAAAAAAACTTAAGTATTTTAAGGACAATAAGATGCTGTGTAAAGCAAATCCAAAGAGTTAGCCAGGGCATTTGAAGAGGATTAGCAGTGTTCTAAAAGAAAATATGACCAAACTTAATGTAAGCAAGACTATGGGTGGAAAAGTGCAAATTGTGCCTTGCTCAAGGGAACTCAGCTGAGGGGTGAGTAGTTATCAGCCTAGAGGAAGAGCACTTTCTGTAATGCTTCAGTACCTAGGGTGGGAACTGGACATGAACCATATAATGACAACATATGTGTTAACAAACGTTCTAAAAGTAAACCATGGTTTTTGGAGTTATGGGACAATGTTATAGAAGATAGAATTAATTCTGAAGTAATAAGCTTAAAAGATAAAGGGTCTTGTAGGATTCTGGAGCACTTCTGTAAAATTCCATGCCAATTACAATGGAAGTCAATTGTACTTGCACTTAGGCAAAATTAAATGGACCACAGTTGTGGGAAGAATTTAAAATGCTACTCAAGTATTAATTATATATATGGGGAGTGATTCTGAAGGCTTTCCTCATCTTCTTGCTCCAACTATAAGCTGGATCTTCAAATATATTACTTCTCTTTATTCTTCATTCCTTATAAGTTGTGATGTCTCTCTCACTTGCATTCCTAGTACTATTGAGACTACAATTGAAGTAGGTGATCTCTCTGAACCTCAGAGTGATTTCTAAATCATTCTAGTTTCTACTTCTTTAGAAGAATCCAATTTTGAAGCTTGTGCCATCAGAATATATCATCTGCCTGTGGGTTGTGGTTATTTACAGAACTCTAAGTCACATTCCGTTTTGTGAAGATTTTAGTTCCTGTCTCACTCTCCAATATTACTCTATCACCATTCTTAGTGATGTCAATATTCATAGTTAATCCTTCTATTCCCTCATCTTTGAATTCCTGGATCTTCTCTCCTTGTATAAGTATGTCCACCACCCCTCTTTAGCCACCCACTCCTATAGTTGTACAAATAACTACTTGTACAAATAAACTCAATTGCAAGAATCTTACTGTCTAAAATATAGTATATATCAACTTCTACTCTGGAAGAGAGTGGAAATCTAAGATAATAGTGTTAAATCCTAACATCTCAAAACAACCACTAACAGGTCCATATTAACTCTTTAACAGAGAAGGTGTACTATTTCCCATCTTTTCACTGTATGCCCTCTAGTGCCTAAATTCTAAAAATGCTTCCACCACGGAGACTAAAATTCATTAATTCTATGATCTTTTACTGACCCTCACCCATCTCATATTTTCAGTTCCTCTTTACCCAGGTCATTTCTTTTGTGTAAAATCATTTAATAACTTTTCATCTTTTTCAGCCACAAGTCAAAGTTGTTTGTAAATGTTTTATTCATTTTTTGAAAATGATTAGCACAATAATTCACATAGATAAGCCTTGTAATAAATATGTCTAATTGATTATAAATATTTTTATTTTTTTCTGAAAATGCAGATTCTGGAATTGTCTGTCATTTGTTGCTTTTCTTATGGTGTTTACTTTCTCTGGACTTCTAATTCCTGCACATTCATATTTGTATATAAAATTTTCTGATATATACTATACATTAAATATCTACTTCACACTGATTGTTATAAGGTAAGAACACCACTAACATTTTTTCATTTATAGATAACTGAGTAAGTTTGAAGATCATCTTTTAGATTGAAAAATTGAAATTTTCTATGGGTAATCAGCAAATAAGTGCTTAGTAATTTATTTTTTTGGCTTTTAACTAAATTTCAAAGCAATGCAAACTCTGCACATTTTTTAATTAGAAAAAAACACAATTAACATTTTACATATTTTGTCCAATATTTTTGTATGACATTTCATGGTTAAGTAACTATTATAAATAAAAAATACTGGTTTTGCTCAATATTATATAATTTTCTATGAAAAATTGTAGTTAGAAATTGCTTTTTAAAAATCATAAGGAAGCCCGCTTTGCAAAAGTCTTTTTTTCTCAAATAATTTTTGTAGTTTATTTTTCCACTGTTAAGAGGTAGAAAAAGTTTGTCCATGTAGCTGAAAAGGAGATAGCATAAGTGGGAAAAACCACCATAACTAGTGTCTCATAGTTCTTTAATCTCCATCAATCAAATGGTTGACATTCTGCTTCCATCTAGTGTCAAGTAAAAGGAAATTATTTCCCAAATTATCAGATAAAATTAGTATAAAACGTAGGAACATGGGAATGATAAATGGCTGAAGGAAAAAAACAATAAAAAAAAAACCTGGCCAATATTGGACCAATTCATCAAGATTAAAATCTATAAAGAAAAAGAAACAGAGAACATTTTCTCATATCTTATTTATTAGATTCGTTTTTATTTGGGGTGGGGATTCAGAATTCATGCACAACACATCTCGAACTTTTTTTTTTCCTCCCGAAGGAACACGGCTCAGAGATGATGTAGAGTTAGTAGAAAGAAACAAAGAACAATGCCATTCTCTTGGCATGTCTCTCTGTGGAATACCTGCTGCCTATCTTTGGTGCCATGTCAACAGTGTGTGAAAGATGTCTCATTCGCTTGAGAGTTAGAAATTTTACTGGGAGTAGATTAGAATAGAGTGAAATGGAAAGAAATTCCTATGAAAGTATAACATTCTAAAAATTGTTTTGTCTTTTAGACTTCTGATCCTTCTGTTAATGAGCCCTGTTTTTTCTCGGGTTGGTCATGAGTTCAGCTGGCGCTGGGTATTCATGATGGTCTGGAGTGAAATGAAAGGGACGCCTAATATAAGCATGGCCCTTCTGCTTGCCTACTCTGATCTTTATTTTGCATCTGACAGAGAAAAATCTCAAGTAAAGGAAGCTGTACTTTCTTATTTGAATATTGTATAAAACTATTGCTGTATATTGAAAATAAATTTTTTGTAGTGAGGTAGCTTAACTCCACTCGGGATGTAGGAGTGATTTAGCTATTATGGCAAGATTGGGGAGAGGAGGAACTGGCAACTTTCCTTCTCCCCATTCTAGCTTAGGAATTCCTAAGTTCCTTCATACTCTAAAAATAAGTTTATTACAAAGATCAAAGTGATTAAAATATCAATCATTTAAAATATTACCAGATACAAAATGTACACTCAATAATGTTTTAATTATGTATTGCACTCAAGAGAAGTAGACTTCTTTTATGGTTGGCCCTATTGCCTTCTATAACTTTATGAGGCCTCATTTTGTAATGCTGTGAGTCAAAACATTTTAATTGTCAGATAAAGGACTCTAAACAGTGCCCTCAAACTCTGCTTAGCAGAAAATGCTGGGCATAATTCTCCTTCTACAATGTGTCTGGGCAAGATAATTACAAGGATCTCTATAAGAAATTTTCTATGCAGGTATCACAGAGCATCTGATGCTTTTATCATCACGGTTTTTTTTTTTGTTTTGTTTTAAACATAAATCCCAAGTGTAAAACAAGGAGTGGCAAGGTAATTATTACGTGTCTACTTAAATAACACTCAGTCCGAGTATTTAAAATCCAATCCTTAAACTGCCTTTAAAACCAAAATTATCCAATATTGCATGACCTCTCTCTTCTTTTTAATCTATTTCTACATGCCCAAATAATCAAGATCAGTGTAATCACCATACACTGGATCAATGTGGTGGCTAACCTTGCACACATATCTAGGTTCTGAAATTCTTAGTTTAGCTACCATTTACTGTGTGGATATCAGCAGGTTTTTAATTCCCACCTCACCTCAAGTATCAGTTTCTTTACTCCAAGACAGAGTTAATAGTATCAGTGCTTTGTGGTAAATATTTAACAAGCAACTTATGTGTTGAGGTGGGAGGAAGCCCTAATTTGTAATATTTGCTCATTTCTGTTGTGTAATCACTTCCACCAACAGAACATCAATCAGCTCATAAACTCCCTGAAATTGAATGATGAGCTCTCATGAGCTGGTAACAGCCAGTCTAGCATACAACTCTCACAAAGCATTATTATTATTATTATTATTTTTACTATTTTTTAAATTGCATTTTAGGTTTTGCGGTACATGTGAAGAACATGTAAGATTGTTGCATAGGTACACACATAGCAGTGTGGTTTGCTGCCTTCCTCCCCGTCACCTATATCTGGCACTTCTCCCCATGTTATCCCTCCCCAACTCCCCACTCCCCACTGTCCCTCCCTTAGTTCCCCCACACAGACCCCAGTGTGTGATGCTGCCCTCCCTGTGTCCATGTGTTCTCATTGTTCAACACCTGCCTATGAGTGAGAACATGTGGTGCTTGATTTTCTATTTTTGTGTCAGTTTGCTGAGAATGGTGGTTTCCAGGTTCATCCATGTCCCTACAAAAGACACGAACTCATCGTTTTTGATGGCTGCATAGTATACCATGGTGTATATTTGCCACATTTTCCCAGTCCAGTCTATAATCGATGGGCATTTGGTTTGGTTCCAAGTCTTTGCTATTGTAAACAGTGCTGAACATTCATGTGCATGTCCTTATAATAGAACAATTTATAATCCTTTGGATATACACCCTGTAATGGGATTGCTGGATCAAATGGAATTTCTATTTCTAAGTCCTTGAGAAATTGCCACACTTTATTCCACAATGGTTGAACTAATTTACTCTCACCAATAGTGTAAAAGTGTTCCTATTTCTCCACATCCTCTCTAGCTTCTGTTGTCTCCAGATTTTTTAATGATCACCATTCTAACCGGTGTGAGATGGTATCTCAATGTAGTTTTGATTTGCATTTCTCTAATGACCAGTGATTATGAGCATTTTTTCATGTGTTTGTTGGCCTCATATATGTCTTCGTTCATAAAGCACCTGTTCATATCCTTTGCCCACTTTTGAATGGGCTTGTTTGTTTTTTTCTTGTAAACCTGCTTTAGTTCTTTATAGATTCTGCATATTAGCCCTTTGTCAGATGGGTAGATTGCAAAAATATTTTCCCATTTTGTTGGTTGCCAATTCACTCTAATGACTGTTTCTTTTGCTGTGCAGAAGCTCTGGAGTTTAATTAGGTCCCATTTGTCTATTTTTTTTATTACTGTAGCCTTGTAGTATAGTTTGAAGTCAGGTAGTATGATGCCTCCAGCTTTGTTCTTTTTGCTTAGAATTGACTTGGTTGTGTAGACTCTCTTTTGGTTCCATATGAAGTTTAAGGTGGTTTTTTCCAGTTCTGTGAAGAAGGTCATTGGTAGCTTGATGGGGATAGCATTGAATCTATAAATTACTCTGGGCAGTATGGCCATTTCCACGATATTGATTCTTCCTAACCATGAGCATGGAATGTTTCACCATCTGTTTGTTTCCTCTTTTAATTCATTGAACAGTGGTATGTAGTTCTCCTTGAAGAGGCCCTTTACATTCTTTATTAGTTGCATTCCTAGGTATTTTATTCTCTTTGTAGCAATTGTCAATGGCAGTT